CAGTGGTGTTGGACCCTAGCGTCCAATCACTGAGGAGGAGTCACGCCAAGAGACCATCTCTCATATCACAGCTGATGAAAAAGCATGAGGATTTTATTAATTCTGTCACGACAGAGTCCTCTAGCAGTCGGGAGGCTAGAAGACCCTGAACGACCGGTACAGGCCATTTTTAAAGGGAAAAACCACAGAAGGAAGGGGTGTCGGGGATTGTTCTTTAACTATTATGATTGGCTTATTCAAAAGGGCTATTACCAATAACTGACTGGAGAGTGGTTGCCAGATCAGATGAGGTAAAGGGACACTTCTGAGGGTCACTTTGCCCCTTCCCAGGGACTAAGACAAAACATCAGTCACTGAGTCAACACCTAAGGGTTATCTTGCCCCTATTCAGGAAGATGGAAAGTTCCCAACATCTCAGTACGTGCATGCATAGCTGTTATGTCCTTGGTTCCCAGGGGAGGAGGGGAAGTACTGAGAGTTGTCAGAAATGACTTCAGAATTGTCTTAAAGTTCTACAGTGGCACAGTGGCAGCGTAGGAGCGGCACAGAAGACATACACCAGCGAAGCGGTGAGATGATGGCTGATAGCCCAGCAGAGGGACGGCCACTGACAGCACAGCAGCGAGATTTCCCCTTATCCCTGCCCTTCCCTAATAAACTCCTACGTGGGTTTGTTGAGCTCTTTGGTTACTTCTCATGGCCACAGAGAAACAACACCCACCTTTCCTGTTTTCAAATAAACAAAAAGGAGAAATGTTAGTATTCAGGCATTACACTAGCCTGCCCTTAGGGTCCTCAATTGCAGCCACTAAGAACACTCCTTGTGCACATGCGCTTGTTAGTACTCAGGCACCTACACTGGCCAGTGCTAAGGGTCCTGACAGAATATGTCACCACTGCTACGTAGAGCTGTCCCTGTGGGCATGAGCTATACCCCCTTATAAAAACCAGGTCACTCCATTTTCTTTCACGGCTGGCTCCGAACTCCAGAGGCCAGTCTCTGCCTCCCCTTCCCCCAATAAACTGCCCATGTGAATTCTGTTATATGGTGTTGTTATTCTGCTGGGGAACTACATTTCCCAGGAGGCCCCTGTGTGCAGGCGCAGAGTACAGCGTCGTCTGCCTGGCTTGGAAGACTTCATTTCCCAGAAACACATGCACCCACAATCCAACACAAAAGCCCCCATGCGCAGACGCAAAACGCAGCGTCTGGTGCGCGTATGCTGGGGTGGCCTTTAAAAGGCAAAGTGTGGTACTTCCGCTCTCTCCTTCCTGTTCCCCGCCATCACGGTCCTGCACACCCCTCCCTGTAATAAAGTTACATGTGGGTTTGTTTGTATCTTGTGGGTTTCTTTTGTTTCTGCAGAAAAGAACATCACTGGTGCCGCTACTTGACTCGGAGCCAAAAGCCGGAGCTCAGGCTTCAGGCGTTACCTGGGCCTCCGACCTCCTCCTGGGACACTAACAGAACTGAGGACCTCCTTTACAATGACCCACGTGTTCCATCTGCCTGGGCGGGCTCCTACGAACACTGGCTTCTCATCATAAGTGTCCCCTTCCGGCCAGCTTAACCGATTCTTTTAACCCAGGAATTGATCAATACTCCTGGTGTTTCTAGGGTTGGGGGGTACTTTCTCCAACTGCGGGCCTTCAGGGCCTGGAGTCCCTTTGCTGGCATTCATTCCCAACTTGTCCCCTTTGCTAAGCCTGTGCCTGGGACGGCTTGGCCTAGCCAGCCCCCAGCACGCCTGCGCCTGTAGGCCCGAGTCTCCAGTTCTTACTTTCTCTTTTTCCATTTGTTTTCTTTCTTTCCTTTTTGTTCTCACGGTTGGCTGCTATGGTGCAGCCCGCAGCTGCTGCTTTCTGAGCAATCTGCCCAGAACCAGCTAGGCCCATAGCACCCCACATGTGGACCGCGGACGCCCGGCCACATTGTCCTGGGTGTTCGAGCCATCTGCATCTCGCCTTAATGGGGAGTTGCTCTTGCTGTAGGCTTGAGGTGCCACGGTTTTTTTTGTGGGTGTTTTCATGGCTTTAGTTATGGGGGGGCAAATCGTCTAAAACTATCACTCCAAACTCCCCACTAGAATGTCTTTTGGATGTCCCGCAGCCTCACGCTTTGATGCCTTCCCTACAGATTTCCACACTCATCCGTCTCTGCTCCAAAAATGACCTCGGTATACCTTAGAGGGAAACTGCAAATGGCTGCCTAATGGCACCTTCGACCCCAACATTTTGCGGGAGTTATCAAATTATTGCAATCATACAGGCAGATGGAAAGAACTCTCCTATGTCTCTGTTTTCTTCTATATGGCCTTTAAGACTGACCCCTCTGTCCTCGCTCACTGTTTACCTGCTCACTTGTTTCTAGCTATGCCATCTCCTCTGGAACCCTCCGCTCCTGCTTCTAGGTCCCCAAAAAGGTCCAGTCATAAGAAAACCTCACCTAACCTTTCTCCTTCTAGGTCCCCGAAAACCTCACACAAATCCTATTCAAAATCTAAAAAAGTCTCACGTAAGCACCATCCTCCCTCTCCTGCCAGCAGGTCTCCGTCCAGCTCCTCTGGTTCCGCTTCCTCCTACTCCCCCTCTTCTCGTAGCAGGTCACGTAGGTTGCCAGAAGTCTCTTCAGATTAATCCTCCCCATCTCTCTCCCACTCCTGCCCTACCCCACCTCCTCCGTCTTCCAAAGCCCTGCCGAGTACCCCTTCCTCTTGTGCCTGCCGTCTTGCACTGACACCTTCCTTCACTCCTCTGCTCACGCGTTCGTGGGCCACCACGGAGCCTAATCCTGACCAAGTCAAGCCTGCTGCCATCCTGCCACTGAGGGAGGTGGCTGGCGTTGATGGATTGGTTAGGGTTCACGTTCCGTTCTCCTGTCAGAACTCTCCCATATAGCCAAATTACTTGGATCCTATATGTCTAATCCTACCACTTTCATAAAAGAATTTCAATATATTACTCAATCCTATAATCTCACTTTCCATGACATTTTTTATGATCCTGTCCAATAACTTACTTCCCTAGGAATGCAGGTGGGTCTGGGAACAGGCCAGACAGCACGCGGATGAAGTTCACCAGACTCTTGCCTCCCATCCTTCTGGGGCGGAGGCAGTCCCAGACCAAGAAACACACTGGGATTATAACACTCCAGGTAGGATCTTGGCCGGAGACCAATTTTTAACTTGTCTCCTAACAGACCTCCGGAAGGCTGCCCTCAAGCCAGTAAATTATTCTAAACTCTCAGAAATTATTCAGGACACAAAGGAAAATCCTTCTGCATTTTTGGAACACCTTACAAAAGCTCTATTACAGTTTATGAACCTGGACTCAGAATCCCCTTACGGCAGATAGCTATTAATGACTCACTTTTAAAATCAATGTTATCCAGACATCAAGGCCAAGCTCAGGCATTTGGAGAAAGGCCCCTTAACCCTACAGGTGAAAGTCCTGGAGATGGCTTTTAAGGTGTACCATGCAAGGAATGACAAAGCTTGCAACCACTGCCACGTGGTAGCCACGGCTGCCCTGCCAGCCAAGGCGACAGACTACTCGACCCGCCCTGTTCATGCTGCCCCCCCCGGGGTGTGTGAGTCAACAGGTTCATGTTTCAAGTGCGGTAAAATGGGCCACTGGGCCTGAGGATGCCCTAATCCCCATCGTAATCCCAGGGGACCTTGTCCAAGGTGTCACAGGAAAGGTCACTGGTCTGTAGATTGTCCTTGTGTGCACGGTGGCATGGGGGCATCGGACCTAGAGATTTCACCTGGACGGAGCCTAACACTAATTTTTCCACACAGCTCACCTGAACTGTTCTCCCCCAGGACTTCCGAGGCAGCCCACACCTCTTTGGCCAAACCTTGGCCTCTGATCTGCTCTCACTGTCTCTCCCTAAATCCAAGCTCATACAATATGTGGATGACATTTTACTTTGCAGCCCATCATTGGAGATCAGCAAGACAGATACTGTTGTCCTTTGAAATTTCTTATCTAAAAGGGGCTATAGAGTCTCACCTTCTAAGGTTCAATTATCTACCACTCAGGTAACTTACTTGGGATTAACTATAACTCCACTCTATCACTCTAGACAGAAAAAAACTAATTCGATCTCTTGCAGTTCCTTCCACCAAAGAAGAAGTTTTATCGTTCCTGGGAGTGGCCGGCTTCCTGCATTCCTGGATCCCCTCCTTTTCTCTCCTCGCCCGCCCCCTATATGAAGCAACTCTTGACTCTCTGCACGAGCCCCTTCTCCATCCAGTTACCAAACCCTTCCAGAGACTCCAACGGGCCTTTCTCCAGGCTCCAGCTCTTCATTTTCTGGATCTAACTCGCCCTTTTTCTCTTTATGTAGCAGAGAAGGAGGGATATGCCCTTGGGGTCTTAGGACATCAATTGGGACCTTCTTTTATGCCTGTAGCATACCTGTCAAAGAAGATTGACCTCACCACTCGGGGCTGGACACCCTGCATACATGCTTTGGCGGCTGCTGAGCTTCTGATTCCTGCCAAGCACAAGGGAATTCCTCACTGGATTCACCTGTCACATCTTAAACCTTTTACTCCTCCAGCTCAAGACAATCCCTCATACACGGTAACTCAGACAGGACCTTGCTCTCTTAAGTTCCAGAGGACACAAGAAAAATAGAGTTCCTATCCTTCACTCAACTCTCTTATGCCAACATGTTTTCCTTTCTTCTCTTTTTCCTATATGTAACCTCTCCAAATACCTCCAATGTCATGTTGAAATTTCCAAATAACCACTCAGCTGCTCTTACAGGAATCATCAAACACGGAGCCAAAGATTATAAGCCTAGGTGATAAGCAAAACCTTAATGGGTCCCTTGACATGACAGGTTCGACATTGACTGCAGCAGTGTCCCCTGGATGTTGAGGCAATGCCCAATATAAAAAAAATTTATTTCCTTTAAGACATTTTCTTTAAGCTCCAAGGAGCCAGCTTGACCCACCTAAATGGACCAGACTCAAAATGCAATAAGTATCATTTAATTTTATTTTATTTCCTCCCCCACCTCAAATCTCCCCTTTAATTTTTTTCCTCTTCTAACATGACTTGTTTTCCAGCTCCTCGAAGAGATGCGGTTTCAATCAGCCATCACAGGACACCAGCGGACAGGATGCGATCACCAGGATGTATCGGACACCCCGAACCCTTCGATGCCCACAAAGTCAGCAGGAAGCAGTTATGAGAGACTGGGCTATGCTCCCATTCCCTACCCATTAAGACCCTCAACCCCCCAAATTTTTAACAAATCAAAAAGGGTGGAATGTTATTTTCCTGGGGAATTACATTTCTCAGGAGGCCCCTGTGCTCAGGTGCAGAGTACAGCGTTGTCCGCCTGACTTGGAAGACTTCATTTTCCAGAAACACATGCACCCATAATCCAACACAAAAGCCCCCGCGTGCAGACGCAAAACGCAGCATCTGGTGCGCATACGCTGGGGTGGCCTTTAAAAGGCAAAGTGCGGTACTTTCGCTCTCTCCTTTCTGGTCCCCCCTGACCCTAGAAACACCAGAAGTACCAGTCAACTCCCGGGTTAAAAGAGTCGGTTAAGCTGGCTGGAAGGGGACACTCGCGATTAGAAGCCAGTGTTGTTTGTAGGAGCCTGCCCAGACAGATGGAACAGGTGGGTCGTTGTAGAGGAGGTCCTCGGTTCTGTTCGTGTCCTGGGAGGAGGTTGGAGGCCCAGGTAGCGCCTGAAGCCTGAGCTCCGGCTTTTGGCTCCGGGTCGAGTCGCGGCATCAGTGATGTTCCTTTCTGTGGAAATGAAAGAAACCCATGAGGTACAAATGAACCCATGTGTAACTTTATTACAGGGAGTAGCATGCGGGACCATGATGGTGGGGAACAGGAAGGAAAGAGAGAGCAAAAGTGCCGCACTTTGCCTTATAAAGGCCACCCCAGTGTACGCGCATCAGAGGCTGCGTTTTGTGTCTGCGCATGGGGACTTTTGTGTTGGATTGTGGGTGCATGTGTTTCTGGGAAATGAAGTCTTCCGAGTCAGGCAGACGTTGCTGTACTCTGCACCTGCACACAGGGACCTGTTGGGAAATGTAGTTCCCCAGGAGAATAACACTCAACATCCCAGAGACATTGCTGTAGTCACTGACGAGCCTGTGATGTTATGGTTTGTTTCGTGAGATTTTTGGGGGTTTGGGGCTACAAATTTATTATCGTTTGTTACCATCTGGCCTTTTGACAGTCCTTGTACCTCTGGCTCTATGTTTGATGATGGTTCCTGTAATAACAGCTGAGTCATTATTTGGAAATTTAAGCATGACATTGGAAGTATATGGAGAAGTTGTATATAGGAAAAAGAGGAGAAGGAGAGTATATTGGCACAAGAGAGTTGAATAAGGATGGGACCTTTATTTTTTTTTTGAACTGGAGTATGAGAGGCTGAACTTGGTGTCCTCTGGAACCTAAGGGAACAGGGTACTGTCTGAGTTACTGTGTATGAGGGGCCATCTTGAGCTGGAGGAGTAAACGGTTTAAGATGCGACAGGTGAATCCAGTGAGGAATTCCCTTGAGCTTGGCAGCTGTGGGAGTCAAAAGAATTACTCTGAGGGGACCCTGCCATTTAAGGGAAAGGGGTGCGGGACGTTGGCCTGGGGGAGAAAATAATACCTGATCTCCTATTTTAATTGGTGGTGTGCATGCGTTAGCACATGGTTGAGGTAATGAGTGGTTCGTAAAATCCTACAATAGGGAGCGCAGATGAGTTAACAGGGGAGTAAGCAGGTGATCAAGAAGGGGAGAAGTTTTAGGTGAGAGGCCATGGGTTAAAACTGGCCGCCTATACATGAGTTCAAAGGGTGAGATGAAAAGGGGGCTTTTGGGAAGAGTCCTAAGCTTAAGGAGGGGCAGAGGCAAGAGTTTTACCCAGTTGAGGGGAAGTTCCTGTGACATTTTAACAAGAACATTTTTTAAGGAATGATTAGTTCGTTCTACCTTCCCTGAAGACTGAGGGTGGTATGGGATATGAAAATGCCAAGGGATGGTAAGAGCCTTAGATAAGTTTTGGGAAATCTGGAAAGTGAACTCAGGGCCATTATCTGACTGAAGAGAGGTTGGGATTCCAAACCAGGGGATGATTTCTAGGAGAACATCAGAGACTGTCTGGGCCCTCTTATTAGTGGTGGGAAATGCTTCAACCCACCCAGACATTGTATCCACCAAAACCAGGAGATATTTAACTCTTTTGACTGTGGGCATAAGAGTAAAATCTAGCTGCCAGTCAGTTCCTGGGAGGGAGCCCCTGGCCTGGTGGGTGGGAAAAGGAAAGCTACAGTATTTGGTCTTGGGATCTGACTTTTGACAAATTTGACAAGAGGCAGTGATAGCTTTTAGAAACTTTATGTCCTCAGGGGTGGGTTGGAGATGAGCCTTAACAAAATGAAGCAGAGCTTTGTTATCAGGATGAAAGAGCTGATGTAGGTAGGACAGAATTTGCCGGGTGTCAGGGGTGTCTGTGAGAGTGTGGGCTGTACTGTATGGACCCCCTGAGGTGATTGAGGTAGGTTTGGGCTTTGGAATGCTGCTGTTTTAGCTGTTTGGTCAGCCCAGGACTCATGGACTAGCGTCCTCTGACTGTGTGGGGTGTTATGGCCTGGCTGGATCTTGTCGGGTGACTCAGAAACCAGAGAGGCCTAGGGTCGCTCCAGCGGCGTTAACGATGAGGGAAGAAAAGAAATGAGAAGAAATGGAAAAAAAAGATGAAGATCTGAAGGACCCTGGGGCCTCAGTCACAGGTGGCTTGGCTGGGCCATCCCAAACAGGAGCTTAAGTAAGGGAAGCAAGCCGAAGTTGAATGCCAGCGAAGGGAACAACCGAGGCCTTGAAGACAGTGGTTGGGGGCAGTCCCCCCATCTCTAGAAACACCAGAGGGTTTCAGGGAGCTCAATGGTCAGTTTCTCAGGTTCAAAGAAACGGTTAAGCTGGCCAGAATGGGAACACTCACCATTAGAAGCCAGTGTTGTTCGGAGGGGCCGCGATCAGACAGATGGAACATGTGGGTCGTTTTGAGAAAATCCCCTGTTGCGATTCTGGTCCCAGGAGTCCGGGGCAGGTCCGGGTTCCAGGACAGGGGCCTGAGACTGGAAATTCTGGCCCCGGGACAGGGGCCTGGGGCGGACGAATTTCTTGAGTCTCGGCACCAGATAAAAATGTCCGGTGGAAAATGAGAAGAGGACACGAGACACAAATGAACAAAAGAATTACAGTCCCAGTCACAGTGGTGGCAGGCACTTCTAGGTTTCAGGGCCACGCATATGCAGACAAGCACTCAGGCAAAATACTTAGCAGCCCCCAGAACCTTAAAAGGCCCTGCATGAGCTATGTGGAGTATGGTTGCATCGCCTAAGTATGATGCAGCTACATAAGCCCTTGCACGCATGCGTGAGCTTCGTCATCTGTGTAAGACGTAGCCACGTCAACCCCTGTGCGCATGCGCTAGGCAGCCTTTACAAGCTGGATGGCCGTCTCCACACCGACATCCTCAGGTCAGTACAAGTGTCTCTCTAATAAACTCTTAAGTGGGTTTGTTGTGTGCTTCATTCTCACTTGCACCAGGTAATTTCACTATCTAGATCTTCCTCTCTTTCTCTCTTCCCTCTATACTCTCCTTACTCTTACACCCATCCCAGTACCCACTAAATAAACTCTATACCCAGTCTCTCTTCACATGGCGTATCTGTCTCCCACCCGCTACCGTCTCTCATCCATCAGGGACCTGCCAGGGTCACCCATCCCATAAATCATAACAACAGGAACACATGGTGCTGGCACAGTAGCTGAGATGTGTCATGATCCACAGGACGCAGAAATAAAGATAGTAAAAAAGTAGAGAGAGCCTCTGACAGGCTCAAACAGGGTACTGGCAGGGTCTTGCTCCATTTCACTCCTTTGTTTCTTGCTAAGCCACTAGACTTCCTCAATCTAAGATTGACTACTAAGATCCAGCTCTCTCTTTGTGCTGAAAATTGGTGTGATCTGTGTCCAGAAGGAACATACCACAGTGCGTGGGTCCCTTGAGAGAGAGAGAGAGAGAGAGAGAGAGAGAGAGAGAGAGACAGACAGACAGACAGACAGACAGACCAGGCCTGACTTGGGCTTTTGAAACCTTGAAGGCCACTTCTAGTGACAGTTTTCTGTTGGGGACTGTAGACCCCTGGCTCCATGACTTTCTTTGCCTGCCTCAGCCACTTTGCCTGCTGGAGTGAACTGAGCAAAACAACTTGTATCCCTGTGCCTGCAGCTGCTCTGAGCATGAGACCCTCATGAGTTCCTGATGGCAGGAGAGTGGTTTCTGGTGGGTTTTACAGCAGGAAATCCCAGGGGCTGGGGAATGGCTGTCAGTTAAGGATCCCTATATAAGCTTCCCTGGAGCACAATAAAGTTGGCATTCTTGTTTCAAGGATGACCTGTGCTGCTGTCTCTGTCTGTCTCTGTGTTTATGTTTTTAAATCTCCAGCCTGGTTCCCGGCTCAGGTAGCATCCTGTAGAACAGGCGTTATGTTTTACAATCTTTCTCCAGCAAGGGCACACATCCTAATAGTGCCACTTCCTAGGGGCCTACGGGTGCCTTCTTAAAGCAGCAATAAAAAAAGAGCTCTTCTGTGTCAACAACTGTAATTTTTCTTTGATTTTTTTTTCTTGAAATCTGTCAATCTCAAAGTGTTAGTTCTTTTTGTTAATATGTACTATATAGAAACCGTATCAAAATTAAAATAAAAGAAAACTTTTGTTCAAAACAATTTTCTGAGGGTTCAGAGGCCCCTTTGGCTTCAGTAAATGAAGGGCAGAAGGCTTTAATGAGGGAGGGATAGAGGATGTATATCTTTAAATGTACAGAACCTTGTTCAGGGAGCCAACAGCAGGTTTTTAGAAATGAAAGTAAAGACCTTCTCTAAGCGCTTTAGCAATGCATCACAAGAATGAGGATGAAGAACAAACAAAGCATCGAAAGGAAGAAGAAAAAGAAAAAAGTGCTCCTTAGAATTTAGCTATCCTGAAGTTTTTCCTTTTCCTTTCTTTTCTTTTTATTCTATGCACTAATTATTTTTGGAGAGCCCTGCAGTCTGATTCTTCTTATATATTTCTCATGGCCATACTTACCTTTGATGATTTCTTCTGTACTCCTACCCCATTTCTGTGTTCCGCTCGTCCTGAACCGGCAGGAATAAAGGTTCTGAAAGATGAAGTGTTGAGAGGGAGGATTGGAGATGAGAAATAAAGAAGACAAAAGCAATGGCTTGGACAAGGAGGTCTTGTATAAGCTGGTGACCTATGCCAAACAAGTTTATTAAGAAGTACAGCATTTTATATAGTATTTGCAGGGGGGAAATGGCCGAGGTCATAAAATTAAGTTTGACAACGCTGGAAAAGTTACCAACTTCCTAGAATTCACATAGCAGTTGATTTAGATACTTCCTTTTTGGCTTTAACAGACATCCTTTTATGGCCTTTGTGGATACCAGGTATGTAAGACCGCACATCTGTGCATTTGAGTATGGCTAGAAGTCAATGTAGGGTACCTTCCTGCTGTGGGAATTCCTTCCGCTCCTTCAGCCAATCGCCGCTGAGTTACCAGCCCATTGGGGCATGGTCTCTCTCTCTTTAAAAAAAGCAGCAGCTGTCCTCCACTCTCTCTTTGGCTTCTGGCTCCGCTTCCGGCTCCTGGACTCCTTTCCTGTTCGCACGGAGGGGCTGCTGTCTGGGGCGGTAATCTGTAAGTTTTTTCCCCTTTGAATAAATAACCATTCTATTAATCATAATTCCAAACTGGTGTGGGATTGTCTGTGACTTATGCCTTCATCTAGCGCCCAACGTTTGGTTGTAGAACTCCCCCTTCCCCCCCCACTCAACTGCTTGCTACCAGCTCGGCTAGTCACGAGACCTCCCTCAGCTGCGGCCTGTGCCCTATGTGTGGAGACAGCAGTTCAATTAAACCCCACGCCTCCCAAGCTCCACAGGCTCGGGACAATCTCTGCAAGCCTGGTTTGCTCTTTTCTGAGTTGTTTTTAAATTTCCCTTGTAAGTGTGGTGCTTTAGTGGCATGAATCAGAACGACTTGGTCACATGGAGGCATACGCGGCTTCCGGGTTGCTCTTTTCTACCCCTGGATTCTGGGTTTCTGGTTCCGTGTATGGAATTGATTTAATTAAA